GGGCAGTTTTACCCCTCCATATATATTTTTTGCCTTGCACCCTTGTAACATATATATATTTTTTTCTATAGTATTGGTTACAAAAGTTTTATGCTTTAAAAAAATTGATTTGGAAATGTGTTTCTTTTGTTTACATTTGGCACTTTTTATGATACGTATTTGTAATTTCTTTTTTAATTGTTCTTTCTAATATCAGTATTTACAAAGCACTTTATGTCTTTCTCCTGCACTTGTATAAATCTATATTATCTGATATTATGATCAGACCGTTATTGACTTAGGTTTGAAACCCTGCTGTGGAAGGAAGGCATCTGCCATGTCTGTGTGCAAAATTAGATGACTTGCTTTGGCGACCTCTGAAGGAAGCTGCCAAAAAGACTAATACACTGTTACTCCGTAATCACGCAGTCTTTTTATGCAATTCTTGTTTTACATGCGTAAATTCCTTGGATGGTAACTCTTTACTTCTACTTGAATAAAAATACAGTGAAGAAATGCTACTCTTGTTACAGTAAAATGCTCATTAAAACCACCTTTACACTGTGCTGAACATAAGCATAACCTAAAATAGATCTGCCTAGGATTACTGCTGACTGACAACTTTTTTGTTGTCATCCCTTTGGGTCATTTTCTTGCACTCCACATCGGCTTGAAAACAGCTACATTTATTGAAATATTTCAATAAATGTAGCTGTTCAACAGTTTTTATAACAGGCAGGTTTAACAAGGGCAAAAGTTAAACTAGAAAGATCTTGGAGATTGCAGACCTCTTATCAACTAGTTAAGTTCCCTATTTCACATACAATAAATAAATAATTCCTAAATATTGATTGTATTCTGGATCACTTCCAAAACTGAATGGTTTCTTAGCTGGACTGACACCCCTGTGGTAAAAATATTAGAACAGCCTTCCTCCATAATCTTGTTGAATCCTGAACCTCCTTGCAGAGGATAAATGATCACATTTCTTGATTGTGATACAAATCTGACACCAGGATACATATAAGGACCTTATTCACTATGTGCATACTACGGACACTCACATACACACACACTTGCCTAAAGTTTGAACATATTACTGGATTAAAGAAACTAAATCTTGGTTTTAGTATGAAATTTACTAATTTTATAAAATTGTAATTCAGTAACATTCACTGTAAATAACACAGTTTTCTTTATAAAATACATGTTGGATGCAATTGAAGTGATATAGGACATCATTAATTGTTTCATGTATACATATGCATCTAAGTCATTAGCAGTTTTACTGGCATTATAGCCTCTAACTCCCATTGACCCCTAACCCTGCTTTACACCCTGTCTACCGTTTTCTAATTACCTGACTTTTAATAGTAATTAGTTTCACTGGATAGTGTTTTTTCTGGGTTCTATCAGGTTAAAGGTTGTAAAAACATATTTAGACCAAACTTTTAGTTTGTTTGTTGTTTTTTTAAATTTTAAAATGATGCAACTTTTTTTCTTATATTGACAGTTTTCTCTGTCATATAAAGTCCTAATAAAATGAACTAAGGTTGGTGGTTTTAAAATATAATGTAAAGTTTGCTTTGTGTTTTTATCCACATTTACTGATCCATCCATCCATCCATCCATCCATCCATCCATCCATCCATCCATCCATCCATCCATCCATCCATCCATCCATCCATCCATCC